GCGGGCCCAGTTACGTCTCCATCGTGAGACTTGTTGTTACTGTGTTGGGCATATCGAAGACGTCACGTGTAGCTTGCCAGGCTTTGCCGTGCGGGCGAGATACTCTCGGTAGCTTACCGGCTCTCTAAGAGGGGCGGAGGAATCGAACTCGGTTCAGCCGGGCTGGCTGTGCGCAAGGCAAACGCCCTACCGCTGTGCTATCGCTCCACACACAAATACACCAAAAAAATAAAAAGAGGTCCATGAGGTTAGAAGAACTGGCACAGGAGCCAAAGAAGGAACAGCCAGGAGGGTGACCCGCTGTTGGGAAGGGGAGTCCAACTGCCCTGGAGGGCTGAGAATGGATCGCTGGGCTTTCCACGTGGAGGGCAGGCCTGAAACCCACCAAGCAGTGCAAGGGGGAGGCTGGGACTGAGAAGTGGCGGACAGCACCTGCCTCCAACAACTGGGGGTGGACACTGCCGACCAGCCCTTCCAGGACCCTGTCCTTGACCTGCCCTTGCCCTTTCAGCCCAGGCCAGGTGCTCGCGTCCATGTCTGGAACAAGACACACGGGCACGAGGGGGCTTGTGAGCAGACGGGAGGGGACGAAGCTACTTAATGACTTCATTCGGCTTCTGTCTCTCCTGGGGCAAAAACCATCAAACACAACCTTGGGACGAGGAATTGGAACCTGAGATGTGTGAGGAGATTGGACAGAGCCTGGGCTTCTGCGAGAGGTTTCAGATGGCCACGCGTGGCCTTCCCTTCCGCTGCCGCCAGTCAGGGCTGAGCCAAGGTTTGAAAAAACCGAAGCACTCAGAAGGTCTGGGGTACACAGAAGTCCCTGTTTTCAACCCAGAAGCACACTCATAGGAAAGACATTATGACAAGTCTGCGGGTCATACGCCACCTCCAAATCTTCAGAGGGCTTTTTAAACTGAATTAATTACGGCCTGGACACTGCCTGACGCACTTGGAAACTGCCGTCCTGGACAACTGCTGCCGGTCAGGTGGGAGATGCCTGTTCTTCTGCGTGAGTTCTGTCTTAGAGCCACATCCAGCTGTGCTCTGGGCTCACAACTGGCTCCCACCTCGGGGCTCATGCCTGGAGGGGTTCAGGAGACCATATGGGGTGCAAGGGCTCAAGCCCACATCAGCTGTGAGCGAGGCATGTGCAATTCACCCCTGGAGCTATCTATCTGGCCCATGCGTGTTGTTTCATAAGGTTCTGGACTCCAGGGTCAGAAGTTAGGTAAAGCCCCAATTACGTGTCGGAGTATTTTTCATTCTGGCTCTGAGCTGCTTTGCCCTCACTGGGCATCCGGGCACAGAGCCCTCTCCAGCTCCAGGGAGGGGGCTGACCTGGGCACACGGCTTGGGCTCTGCCAACGGCACTGACCACAGCTGGTCCAGCTGGCCTCTGTGCAGGGCCACCCCGCCAGCACACGTGGGCTCTCCTCCCAGTAACAACACATCCGCGCCAGGGGCCTTTCCGTCAGGTGGACAGAACTGTCTGAGTGTCCTAACAATCCCGGGGGATCCTTCTGTTTCTGTTCCACACGCTGGGTCACTGACTGTCCAGAGCGAAGGGCCAGTGAGCGCCAAGGGTGAAAGAGGGTCTCTAAGCCACCCCTTTCCACACAGCAGGCACAGGGCTGGCCAGTCCCTGGGACAAGCTGCTTCAATGCTCTCCCTCACCCCGGTGGCCGCTGGCCAGAGGTCGCCTTCTGGATGAGCCGGGCCCTGTGGGTGATGGTACCCAGTGGAGGTCTCAGGAGTGTCCCATCTGGAGTGCCCAAGCCAGTGTCCACTGGGTGTATCTGTCCAATGTCCCATCACTGGGAAATGGGGAAATGGAGACGTGGCTGGTGCCCAAGGCACAAAAATCAGGGTCATGACCTCCCAGGCCGCAGGGTCATGACACCCCTGCCCCCTGCCAAAAAAGGGCAGGGCAGCCCAGCACAGGCTCCTTCCTGCTCACCGGGCAGCCGGGAATCCGTCCCGGTGTGCCAGATGGATTCCCCGCCAGCACTGCCAAGCTCTGCCTCCGCTGCTGCCTGCGGCCCGGGACTCGCACAGGAGCTGATGGACATTGGCACGGGTTGGCACAAGGGCAGCAAGAGCCACAGCCGAGGGGGGGGGAGCAGCAGGGATGGGGGTCAGCCCTCCCGCCGCCCCCCGCTCCAGTTGAGCAGGGACCACACACTTCAGCCTTGCCAGCACCGCAGGCCTCCAAGACCCCACGCTGGGTCTGAGCTGGGCAGGGGGCGTCCAGGAAGGGACACAGATCTGGGACTGTTCCTCGCCTCAAGCCAGCGGCAGTGTCTGGACACGCCCCAGCCTGAACCCCCAATATGTCCCCAGCTTGTCCCACTGTCTGTCCCCCAAGACAACCCCCGGCCTGCGATCCACCCCCACCTGGGAACTAGCTAGCCCAGCAGCCCAGCCACTGCTGACCACACACTGAGTCCTTCATCCTCCCGCCAATTCTCCTGGCCAGTGCCCAGGCTGCAGGGTGACACCAGCGTACCTGTCACCGCAAGCTCTATCTCCAAGGAACGGATAAAGGAATCAAAGTCGAAGCCCTAGAGAGGGTGGAAGGTATATGCCCACACTCGGACGCTAACACGCTCTCGGCCAGCCCACACCAGCTGCACACTGCATCTGGGTGTGGGGAGGAGCCAAGAGCCCCTCCCCCCATATCCCCCCAGCGTAAACCAGAAGGAAGGGGAAGGCAGGAGGAAATCCTGCCATGAGACCTGCACGACCCTCTGCCCCCCAAATTCAAAAGGTAATCTGAGTCTCTGGACAAAAAATCCACTGAGGCAGTCCTCCCTTCCCTGCATGGACCCTCAGACGCCCAGAGTCCCAAACCCACCCCCCAAATCAGCTCCACCCAGCAGACCCAAGGGCACTGCTCACCACCCGAAGAGTGACCCCGTGAGGTCAGTGCCATTGTGCCCACCAGTCAAACCCCCTGCTGGCCCAGTGCCCACCTCAATGGCAGCGTCCAGCAGGGAGAGAGAGGCCACACTCCCTCGGGAGCAGGGGGCAGGCAGGCTCGTCAGACACTGTCTTTGAAGGCTTCTAGGTGTGTCCACATCAGAGTTGATTTTGTTTTTAATTGAATCACCCTGAGATAGACCCTTACAAAGCTGTCCACAGTTAGGTTTCAGTCATACAGTGTTCCAACACCCATCCCTCCACCAGTGGACATTTCCCAGCACCAGTGTCCCCAAGTTCCCTCCCATCACTCCCTAACCCTCCTGCCTCTATGGCAGGCACCTCTCTCTGTCTCTGTCTCTGTCTCTGTCTCTCTCTCTCTCTTTCTCTCTCTCTGTCTGTCTGTCTCTCTCTCTCTCTCTCTCTCTCTCTCTCTCTCAGATTTGTGGTTTGCAATACAGATACTGGAAGGTTATCGTGCATACCCTTTTATCTACTTTTAACACTCAGTTCTTGTCCAGAGATCATTTCTGAGCTGATTTTTTTTAAGGCTGTTTCACTCTCATTTAAAGAGATCCGGCCACCCTCGTGTTTGTCACAGCAACATACGCAAATTATCCAAGAGCTGGAGACTACCAAAGTGGCCATCAGCAGACGAGGATAAAGAAACGGGGACAGGCACACAATGAGCCCCTCCCCAGCCGTGAAAAAGACCAAACGCTGCCACTGGCAACAGGCAGGCTGTGATGCTCAAACGGAGTGAGGCAGATGCGAACGGCGAACACCTGACGACGGGTGGACAAGGCAGACGAGCCAACTTCAGACTCAGATGGAAACGGTGATCGCCAAGGGTGAAGCAGGAGAGGGTGCAGGAGTAGGGTGGGAGCACCTGAAGGCTGGTGGGAAGGACTGGTGGGAAGGACGGGGGGGGGGGGGGTTGGGAGTTGCCGGTGGGGCTGATCACTGTGACGGGGAGGAAGCAGTTTACAGTAAAGGAGACCCCTGAGAGCGGCAGGCTCCCCGCCCCACAGCAGCCGCCCTCTGCTCCCTCTCCAGGCACACGCTAAGCCCTCCCACCCGCCCGCAGCCCAGATGGCAGGCCTGTCCCTCACTGGGCCCAGATGAGCAGAGGGTGAAGTGTCTGCAGAGGCCACGGGCACCTTCCGGCCATTTCACGTCAGCTCCCAGGAGTGGTGGCCTGCCACGCGTAAGAGCCACAAGCCAGGTCTGTGCCATTCAACCCCCAGGGCCCAGGAAGCCCTGGGTCCCCGGCCTGGCCCTTGGGAGGGGGCTCCTAGCATGGGCCTGGGCAAGAGGGAGCAGGTGGGTGCGGAATGGGAGGGCACCAAGGTGGTCAGACTCATCTCTGATCCTGGCTTTCGAATCAGAGGTGGGCATGCTCAGTGCAGGACGCCGGGTGAAAGCCAAGAGTCTGCAGAGGGAGCGTGAGAGGAACAAGACACTCTGCGGGCAGGCCAAGGAGCACAGATTCTGTAGCCAAAACGTTGTCGACGTGAGGACCCTGTCTATGGAGGCTGACACTCCTGACTGCCCGCTGTTAGCAGGGACTCCCAGGAGAAGTACTTAAGGGTCCTGGTGCTATCCCTAAGCTTATAAATTGGAAAAAAAGTGCATGTGGTTCCGGGGAGCTGCAATCCCTGAACTGGAACGCATTACTCTCCGCAAACGCTGAGAAGCGCTGGGTGGACTGGCCGACCCCACTGTCGCAGTCCCTAGCTTGGCGAGCTTGTTTCGTGCCTGGTGAGCAGGCACCCACAGGAACCATGACCCTGTGCCTGCCGGTTCCCAAGCTACAGAGCTTCCCAGAGAGCAACATCAGCTAATGAGGAGGACTGAGGGCCCCATTCCCAGAGGCAACCAAGCCAAAGCCTAGATGGACACGCAGAGAGGTGAGGAGCACCACGGCAGAGTCCCATAGGGTGGGGAAGCTGGTCTCAGTCTCAGGTTCCGCTTCCCCGGTGGGAGGGCATGGGAGGAAGCCCACTTCCCTCCCAGAGTGCCCACTCGCCCACGTGCCCCCACCAGTGTGCCCACTGTCCCAGGCGCCCACTCACCCACAGGCGTGTCCTCGCTGATCAGCAGGTACGTGTCAAAGAAGTGGTTGGTGAAGAAGGGCAGGCGGTTCACCTGGCCTGGAAGACAAGAAGGCCAGTCAGCTCCCTGCCAACACCACCCGCTGGGCAGAGACACAGGGCAGGCCGCGGGGGACACACGGCCTACACACAGGCCACTGACTGCCCGAGGCACACAGGGGCAACCGCCGGCAGGCAGGTGGTCAGCGAGGCCCCCAGCTGCCTACAACACGCACAGGACTGCAAAGGCTACATAAAATGTGGGTGTGGAACAGCCCTTTCCTGCACATGACCGACTGAGACTACTGTGGCAGCGGTTAACACTATCATTAAAAGAAACTGAGGACCAGAGCAATGGCACAGCATTAGCCTTGCACTCCAGTGACCCGGGTTTGATCCCGGGCACCCCAGAGGGTCCCCAAGCCCCGTCAGGAGTGATTCCCGAGCGCAAAGCCAGGGGTAAGCTCTGAGCACCACCAGGTGTGGCCCCAACATTTACACCAGTAAATGTATAAAAATAAGATGAACTGCGCCTGTCTCCTTTTCTCTTTTTCTAAGGCAGCCCCTAGGCTACCTTAAAGCCCCTCATCTGCATCTCCCTGACCTTTCTGGGGACAGCCCGGCTCCAGGAGGCCTGTGAATGAGCTAGCACGGGGGCATCGTTTGGACCAGTAAAACGTGGTACTCAGGGTGGGGGCGGAGGGCCAGCCCTGAGGACCATAACAATGCCCGCCTAGGCCACGCGCTCTGCACCATCTCTGGTGTCGTCTCTGGCTGTCATGCCAGAGTCCCCCTCCCCATTTGCCCCAGAGGAAAACAAGGCCTGGAAGGGTTAGTAGAAACTCGCTCTAGGGGCTGGAGTGATAGCACAGTGGGTAGGGCTTTTGCCTTGCATGTGGCTGACCCTGGTTCGATTCCCAGCATCCCATATGGTCCTCCGAGCACCGCCAGGAGTAATTCCTGAGTCCAACGCCAGGAGTAACCCCTAAGCATCACCTGGCATGACCCAAAAAGAAAAAAAAATGAAACTTGCTCTTGTGGGGGCCACAGCAATAGGACCGAGGGTAGGGCGTTTGCCTTGCATGAGGCCGACCTGGGTTCAATTCCTGGTATCCCATATGGTCCCTGAGCACCACCACCAGGAGTAATTCCTGGATGCAGAGCCAGAAGTAACCCCTGAGCATCACTGGGTATGACCCAAAAAGCGAGAAAGAAAGAAAGAAAGAAAGAAAGAAAGAAAGAAGGAAGGAAAAAAAGGAAGGAAGAAAGAAAGAAAGAAAGAAAGAAAGAAAGAAAGAAAGAAAGAAAGAAAGAAATTCGCTGTCAAGGTCATAGGGGCTGAGTAGCAGCACCAAGGGTGGGGAGTCCTGGGAGAGGTATCCCCGAGTCTGTGACAGGACCGCAGCGGGGCGATGTTGGGAGGTGTCAGGGCTGACCCCCATGAGGGCTGAGGAATCTCCTCCTGCAACGTGGAGTGGATTAACACACCCCCACGCTTGCTCTGTCCCCAGCTCCTGCTCCAGGGAAACTCGACCCCCCAAAGATCCCGAGACACCAGCATAGTGTCTGTCCTCCCCTTCTGGGCCACATCCAACTTGGTGCTTGTGACGTGACCTAGCCCGGAGCCATGAGGCGGTCTCAGGAGGGACCTGGCCACCAGGAAAGACCCTCGCACACAGCCAGGAGCCCTGCACCACTCGCCCATCCCCTGCTGCATGTACCCCTCCCGCCCAAATGGCCCCAGCTCCTGCCCTGGCCTCTGGCTGCGGCGCCCGCCCGCCTGCATTCCGAGTCTCCCTGGCCAGCTAAACCTGAGAGGGGCGGCAGTGGGTGAGACGGGCAGGTGATCTGTGTTTGTGGACCAACTGAGGGGGCGACAGAGCTGAGTAGCTGGAACTCCCGGGGTGCCCTGGGAACTGGCTGTCTATTTCTTTACCGACTTATTCAATTATTGGTCTTGATTTGGGGGACACACCTGACAATGCTCGGGGCTTCCTCCTGGATCTGAGCTCTGGGATTACGCCTGGTGATCACTCCCAGGGCTCAGGGGAACACAAGGGGTGCTGGGAATTAGACTGGGGTCAGCAGAGTGCAAGGCCAGTGCCCTGCTCATTGCACTGTCACTCCTGCCCCAGGTTTGGTTGCTGACAGGGAAACCACCCAGACATAGGCAGGGGAAGTAGGGACCTTGGACCCTGCCGACAGGGGGTGACCATCTGCTCTGGGGGGTGCTAGGCTTGCACAGCACCCGCAGAAGCAGCTCTGCTGCGTCTCCAGGGTACTGACCATGCTAGTTTCCCGTTCAGCTGACCTGGGGCCCCCTCAGACCCCAGCCAGCCTCTGCCTAGGGCCAGACAGACAGTGGGTAGGGCATCTGCCTTGCAGGGGCCGAACTGGACCAAATCCAGCATCCCAGATGGCCCCCTGAGCCCTGACCAGAAGGATCCTGAGCTCAGAGCCAGCAGCAAGCCCCGAGTGTAGCCAAAAGCCAAACACAAAGCCACAGCAGGAAGGCCGGAGCCGGGTCCTGCCCCTTCTGCTGGAGGAGCTACTCGCGGAAGTGAGAACTCGCAGGGCCTCCCTGAGCCCGTCTGCTGAGGTGGCCAGACTGACCCTCCGTTTCTCCCGCACACGCTCTGGCGGTCCCTGCACTCACCAACTCCCAGCCCACCCTTCCAACCTAGCCTGGGGGGCCTCTTCCAGGAAGACCCCCAACCACCACCTGCCTCTGCCCGCAGTCACCTGCAACCCCTTGGGCACCACAGCCCCCCACAATGCAGCTGCCCAGAGGGGGTCCCTTTCTCTCCTCACAGGACCGTCCGTGCCTCAGTTTACTCATTTGTAAAAGAGCAACAAGAACAGGCCTTCCTATAAGGCTGTCCTGAGGGTGGGACGGGTCACCCAAGAGAACCCCGTGCACCTGCCCCACCGCGAGCGCTGGGTAAACGGCTGTTGTCAGCACCCATCTGTCACCAGGTCGCCTGCCCCGGCATTGGGCGCCAGCGGGGGGAGCACCGGCCCGGAGAAGGTGAGCCCATCCCTAGAGCCGTGAGCAGCAGCGTCTGGGCCAGCGAGGGAAGCCAGAGCTGGGGACACGCAGCCCAGCCCTACCTGTTCCCGCTGCTCCTGCCCAGGGCTGACACTGGCCGCTAGGCAGAGCCTGAGACCGACCTGGTCCCTGCCGTGGCCTCAGCTGCACGCGGTATCAGGGCCGCGGGGGTTGTGAGGAGCGAGTGGGGAGAGCGGAGTGGGGGGGGGGGTTTCTTCCACTGAAAGCCACTCACCAGGCCTGGGGCAGAATCCCTGTCCAGCACCCCAGGGGGGCATCCAGGGTGGCAGGGCTGCCCCTCCCCTCTCTCCTTCACCTGCACGGGCACCCATCCCATCCACCCTGCCCCAAGACCCATCCCTGCCCTCCCGGATGCCTGCCCAGCAGATGGGGTACACTGGCTCAAACCCCTCCAGCAGGAGCTCTGGATCTGTGCGGGTTTTTAAACAGGGAAAGGAGGACACAAGTGGCCCAGGTCACAGGGTCCCCGTGGAGCCAAGGGCAGTGACCAGACACCCACTAGCTGCAGACCAGAGGTCAGGGCTAGTCTCGGGTGCCCCTGCCGAGGCCTCCTGATTGGGTCAGCGGGGCACGGGGAGGGATGCGGAGAGAAGCCTGAGGGGTCAGAGGCCCCTGCTCAGGTTCAGCGCATCCTGCTTTTGTCCCTGAATTCGGGGACTCTGCCCCGTGCTACTTGGGGTGGTGGTGGAGGGGGGAACTCCACTTGGGGAGTTAGGCCTGCAGCTCTGGGGTTCGGGAGTTACCTTCAACTCTGGGGGTCGAGAGTTAGTCCTGCAGCTCTGGGGGTCAGGGATTAGTTCTGCAGCTCTGGGGGTCAAGTCAGTCCTGCAGCTCTGGGGGTCAAGGGTTAGTCCTGCAGCTCTGTTGGTTGGGGTAGTCCTGTAGCGCTCGGTATCAGGGGTTAGTCCTGCAGTTCTGGAGGTCGGGGTTTACCTGCAGCTCTGGGGGTCGCAGGTTGGTCCTGCATTTCTGGGGGTTGGGGGCCACCTGCAGGTCTAAGGGTCAGGGGCCAGTCCTGCTGCTCTTGGGGGCTCAGGGCTTAGTCCTTCAGCTCTGGGGGCTGGAGACTCCAGCCGAGCACCCCCGCACACAGAGCGCGTACCCCAGCCTCTCCAGAAGCCCCCAGCCCCACGCCCTGGCGCAGGTGAACGTGGCCTCGCTACTTCCTCCTGCCGCCCCTTCTGTGTCTGGCCTGTACTTGAGGGGCCCCTGGGGATCTGTGAGTCGGGGGTGCAGTCCTGGCTGCCTGGGTGGGGTTGAACCCCAGTCACATGAGTTCCAGCAGAGACCCCTCTGGAGCAGGCGGGACGGGACCTGCCCAGGACTCGCGGGCAGCAACATGCAGGCAGAGCAGAGTCTGCAGCTCCTCAGAGGCTCCGGCTCCCAGAGCGGCGGCAGGAGCCAGCCCCGCTCAGGAATGTGTTTGTCCTGTCACCAGGCACGTGTGCCCGCGGCTCCTCCCCAGGGACAGTCCCGGCCCCGGGGACGCTGCGTTAGGAGTGTGGCCCGGTCACACTGCGCTGATCTGCACCTGTCAGGGAGAGGCAAATGCCCGGGCTGCCGCCTGGCACTGAGCTGGCCGCCACCCAGTCCTCCTGGCAGAGGGCAAAGACCTCGCCCCCCCACTCCACCTCCCCCTGAAGTCCTCCCTGCTCTCGCTCTCTGCACTGGACCCACTGGGCAGTCCCCAGAGGCCAGATGCAGTCAGTCACTCGTGATGGGCCCCGAGTCGGCCCTCCCAGTGCGGTTCCTGGAGCCTCTACTGGCTGTACTGGTTTGCAAGCCTGCCTGCCTGCCTCTCTGTCTGTCTGTCTGTCTCTCTCTCTCTCTCTCTCTCTTTCACACACACATACAGAGAGACAGAGACAGAGAGAGAGAGCAGACACAAACAGACAAACACACAGACATGCATATATACACACAGCAGGGACATACACAGAGCAGGTGCACATACACACACACAGACACACAGACACATACACACACAGATACACACAGATTAATACACAGAGCAAGCACACACAGAGACCTACACAGAGATACACACACCCAGACACAGAGACACACACAGACATAGAGATACTCATACAGGCACACACACACACACACACACACACACACACACAGACACACAGACACTCACAGACAGAGACACACAGAGTCTCAAGGCTCTGGGCCCAGCCCCGGGGAAAGCTGCTATTTTGACCTGCGGGCAGGGGGAGGGCGCGGGGAGGCGGGGGAGGCGCCCATGGGCAGCCCCACGGGGCAGAGTCTCTAGGGGGCCAGAGCACTGATGCCAGCAGTGTGGGGGGAGGGGGGAGGGGCAGAGGGTTCTACTCACCCCAGCATCCAGACACCAGCACCAAAAGCCAGACCACGTGGCCGCTGGGGGCAATGTGGCCCCTCATGGCTCCTGGGGACAGAAAGAGGAGGAGGTCAGAAGCCCTTATTGGAGGGGCTCTTCCCGCCGCCCAGCACTGCCCACCAGCTCCTGAGATGGGTGACAGGACAATCAAATGGAAGAAGAGACCATCACTGGGGCCCATCCTCAGCCAGCCCGGGTTTCACACTGAGCGGTGGGGCTGCCCTGGTGGGGCTGGTCACGCTGCCCCGTGGACACGTCGGCTGCAGGGACAGGCCCAGGGACACCTCTGAGACATGCTCTGAACTCAGTGTGGGGGCGGCACCCCAGGGTCATGGGGGACAGGCTGGTCTGGGACAGGGCTAAGGGCATACGTGCAGGGGCCGGGAAGGGAGTGCAGGGGTTAGCGCACGGGCACAGCTTCCTGGGTCCATCCCTGCCGCCCTCACATGGAACCCCTAGCTGCGTGCGGCCAGGAGTGGCCAGGTGGGTCCCTGACCACTGTGTGGGAGCACCCTCCCATGCACACAAAGGCACTGAGGCGGAGGACAGGGTCCAGAGGGTGGGTTGGGCAGACCAGGACCCCCAGCCCTCACTGACTTCCCTGCACTGGGCCTCAGCGTGACCTGTGCAGGGCACAGAGCATGGACAGGACAGCAGAGGCCACAGAGACCCAGAGCGGAAGAAGACCAGCCGGGCTGCACAGCGAGTGTGAGCTGCGGGGGCAAGGGAGGGGGTCCGCCGTCACCTACGGGGCTTGCAGGTGTAGGGGGCTGTTCCTCCTGTCAGAGCAGAATCTCCAGCAGCCAGGGGCTTCATGAGGGACCCACAGCCCCGGACACGTCGAACTGTGTCCCTATGGGCCCGGACAGCTGCCGTCAGCCAGCACCCACCCTGCAGCCCCCCAGCTCACACGGTGGGGACTGCTCGGCGACACTCTCAGAGCCCCCCCCAAGACACGGAGACACGGGGCCAGCATCGGGACCCCGGCTGACAGTCAATGGCCAGGAGGGAAGTAGCCGGGACCCAGTTCTCATGCGAGAGTGACACCTCAGAGCCTAAACGTTCCCATCTGTAAAATAGGAGCAAAATTACCCATGTCGGGGCCGGAGCAATAATACATCAGGCAGAACACTTGTCTTGCACCTGGTCGACCAGGTTCCATCCCCGGCATCCCCCATGGTCCCTCGAGCACTGCCAGGAGTGACCCCTGAGCGTCCCTGAGGACCCACCCCCACCCCCCACCAAGAATATGCATGTCGGGACTGGGGAGATGTACCGGGGTAGGGCATGTGCTCTAACACAGTCGGAGCCAGGCTGACCCCCAGACCCCAGACGGTTCCCGGAGCCCTAAGAGGAGTGATCCTGGGGCACGGAGCCAGGAAGAAGCTCCGAGCACGTCTGGGTTCGAGTCCCAAAGCCATAAATAAAGGCTGAATCCCCTGTGCCCCACTGACCCCAGCAAGCACCACAACCGTTAACTTCCTCGACTGAGGATGTGATCTGGAGGAGGATGTGTGCACCCACCAGGGCTAAGGCAGCGGGACCCCAGTGACACTGACACAGCACGAGCACCGCAGCCTGGTAATAATGTGTGAGCACCACAGCCAGGCGGGTGCCGTCCCAGGCTCCAAGCAACACCAACAATAATGGCAGGAAGGGAAAGGGAAAACACACGGAATGTTTAGGGGGTTTTGGGTGGTATATGGACATTAACATTCGCCTCAGAGACATGGGTCCTATGAAAACAGGATGACAACACTATTCGGGTCTCCCAAAGAGGAATCAAAAGAGCTCTGCTTGGAGTATCACACTTCACTCAAGTGAGAGAAAGAATCCGGAGTTCCGACCTCCGTCGAAGATCGAGAGTCAGGGACGCTGTCTCGTTTGCCAAGCCATCGAAAATCAGATGGGCTGGACATGTAATGAGATTTGGAGACCACCACTGGACTAGAGCCGTTACGACTGGATTCCACGGGACGTCAAAAGATCGCGTGGCCGCCCACCTACGAGATGGTCAGACTTCTTCGTCAAGACCCTGAATGATCTTCGTGTTCCTAGAACAAGCAGATGCCATTGGGCTACACTAGCATGCGACAGGGACGAATGGAGACATTACTGGTGCCCACTCAAGCAAATTGATGAGTAACAGGATGTCAAGTGATCAAATGAAACTTTGGGGGTCAACACCCAGCAATGCTCAGGGGTTACTCCTGGCTCTGCACTCAGGAATTACTCGTGGCAGTGCTCGGGGGACCATATGGGATGCTGGGGATTGAACCCGGGTCAGCTGTGTGCGAGGCAAACGCCCTGCCTGCCAGACTATCACTCCAGCCCCTTTAGTTCTTTCTTTTCTCTTCTATTCTTCCTGTTTTCTCTTCCTTTTTCTTCCTTTTTCTTTTTCTCTTTTCTTGTTCTCTCTCTTTTCTCTCTTGCTTTCATTTTTTTTTTCGGCTTTTTGGGTTTCACACCTGGTGATGCTCAGGGGTTACTCCTGGCTCTGCACTCAGGAATTACTCCTGGCGGTGCTCGGGGGACCTTATGGGATGCTGGGGACTGAACCCAGGTCGGCCGCGTGCAAGGCAGATGCCCTCCCCGCTGTGTATCACTCAGCCTCGTGTTGTACCTGGCGCGGAGAGCAGCCTGACAATCTGTGAAAACTCCACCCTGGGCGAGCACCAGGAACCCCAGCCCTGAAGGGCACAAAGGGATTTTAAGGGCCACACCCGCATCGTTGCAGGATGGAGCAGAGAGGATCCAGGGAAGGCTGAGAGCTCGGAGCCCCAGCTCCAGACCTGGGGCGCCCTGAGCCCCACGAGGACATGAGGTGGCCAGACGAGTGGCTCCTGACCCACCACAGGCCTGCCCCTTGGTGACTGGGCGCTTGGAAGGACAGAGATTCTAAGGTGTACACGTTTACTTTTTATTTGGGGGTGGGGGGGTAGCACCTGGCGATGCTCAGGGCTTCCTGCTGACTCTGCACTCGTGGATCAGTCCTGGGCTCAGGGGACCACGTGGGGTGCCAGGAACTGAACCTGGGTTGGCTGCGAGCAAGGCAAGGGCCTTCCCCTTGGACTATCTCCCTGGTCATGATGTTTAAATGACTAAAAGCTGAGCCCCCGGTCACATTCCTGCGGGTTCCCTCCCTGAACCCCGGGATAATCAGCCAGTCACGCGCCTGGCAGGCCTGCAGGGTGCGCAGGAGGCAGCAGTGCCAGGTGGGCACGGCTGGGACCACTCTCGGGCCACGTGCCCTGCCTCGAAGCTGCTGCTGGGAGGTTCAGCCCTAAAGAGAAGCTGCGCCCGGTGCTGCCAGAGCTTCAGATTTTCTCAATGGAAAGCTGGAATTCTGGCTCTTTTAATAGATGCGATTTTTTTTTTAAGTGTTGGCAAGTAATTCCTTTTCTCTGCGCCAACCACGCCCCATCTGCCGGCCGGCGTGAGCAGGCTGGACCTGGAACACACCCGCCAACAGGCCTGGCTCAACAGCCCCGCCAAGACGCAGCCGTGATGCATGCGGCCGTGGCAGGCTGGCCGGGCCGCGCTGAGCTGTGGGGACCCTCACTCAGAGGCCACCTGCGTCTCCCACATGGCCACGTTCCACAGCTCATGTCCAGGTCAGCCTGCCCTCGCCCTCCGCCTTGCTAAGAGCTGAGCCTCAGTCCAGAGGCTGCACGTCTCCTGGCGGGGACAGACATTCGCTACAGTGGCCACCCACTGCTCCCAGGCCACTGCAGGCCACTGAGGCCACAGCAGAGGGCATCCCTTCACGAGGCCGTGCTGGAACTCTGCTGTCTGACTCAGTGGTCCAGCGGTGGGCTGACTCTGCATAGTGAACAAAGGCCTGCATGCGGGTGGCTGTGGGACACCCGATATTGCCCACAGAGAAGCTGTGGCCCCCACGGTCCCTGGCGGGGTAGGAGGGACTCCCATGCCTAGGGCAGAACTCCTGAGCGACTGCCAATGGCTACGTGAAAACGCCTTTCGCGTTTTCCCTACACTAGCAGGGTGGACAGAGAGGTCTTTTTTAAAAAATATTGAGCCCCCTCTTTTTTTCCTTTTGTTAGTTTTTGGGGGGCCACACCCAGCTATGGTCACCACTTACTCCTGACCCTGCACTCAGGGATCACTCTCGGCGGGGCTTGGGGGGTCCATCAGAGGTGCTGGGGATCAAACCAGCATCAGCTGTATCCAAGGCTTACTAGAGTCAGACTACACTGTCCCTCCAGCCCCCAACCCTCTTTATCTGTTATCTTGCATTAACCTAACTCACTCTGGAAAGAAGGCAGCAAGCATGTTCGCACTAACTGATTTACCAGGGGAGAAACTGAGGCACCGAACAACTAAGCAACAATCTGACACCTCAGCGTACACACACACACACACACACACACACACACACACACACACACATTTTTTTTAAGTCTCCAGCCTCAGCTTGTCCAAACAGCACCTGCTGAGGCCAGCACCGGGACAGGTGGGGAGAGCAGTGTCCTGCTCAGGCTGTGAGTCTGCAAGGGCAAAAACAAAGTAAAGCAGACTGGGCGGGTCTCCCTCCAGGGATCCCACCGCTCCATCTTTATCCAAGGCTCCAAGCAAACAGTTCTGGTGCAGGCGCCTCGTCCCTGCCTTAGGAAGGAGGGCCCTAGGCTTGAGGTGCTGCTTGGGTCCTACCTGAGTCCCCATCACTTCCGTCAGGCCATGCCCCATTGCCTAAGGCACCACCACTGCCCCAAGGAGAGCACCGGGCAGCGAGCAATGAACACACAAGTCAACACACGTGCACATGAACATACGTAAACCCATGCATGCAAATGTGCACATAAATACACATTAACCCATATGCACCTAGCACAACCCATATGGCTGGAGCGATAGCACGGCGGTAGGGCGTTTGCCTTACAAGTGGCCAACATGGCCGACCCGAGTTCGATTCCTCCGCCCCTCTCGGAGAGCCCGGCAAGCTACCGAGAGTATCTCGCCCGCATGGCAGAGCCTGGCAAGTTCCCCGTGACGTATTCGATATGCCAGACACAGTAACAACAAGTCTC